AAAAAAAGAAAGCAAGAAAAAGCAGAAATTAGCTGATACAACAGAATACCATTCACCGCTAGAAAAATGCTTAACACTACAATAATGAGTTTATGCCACACTAACCACAGCATTACAGTGAAGAAGCCACTGAACAATTTTTCTCCACAGAACTTAATTTTCTTGCTCACTTCTATCCCAAGCCAATCAATTAGCCCTGTTGTTACAGAGCGATTAAATCTTTACTGCAGTCTCAAAAAATGATTTCTACCTTATGCATTTACAGATTTCAGTTATCCACATCACATAAGCTGGCCCATTTCACATCAACAAAAGCAATAAACAGAAAACTGAGACACTGTTACTAAGTTTTGCAAGAATGAGTAACAGCATGTGTAGAGGCATTGGCGTAGGTGTGTACCACTGTGCCCATGTTACCCATAAAATAAAACAAGAAAAAAAATCAATTCAAAACAATATTGTGGCATTTTCTTGAGCTCACCAAGTATCAAAATATCAACTGTCAGTTAGCTGGCATCTCCATGTTTTATCAGCAATAGAAAGCTGTGCAAAAGTATGCTACTTAGGGGATTTAAGCTTCATACTCCAATGTTGCAGCCAATTGCTTACTGTGTGTGCGCTGAGGTTTTGTGTGGAGAGCCATGACTGATCTGGTAGCGTTGGTCATCTACCAATCCAAAGGTCATTAGATCAATCCCTGACTCCTCTAGCCATGTGCCAAAGTATACTTAGGCAAACTACTGAGCCCCGAGTTATCCTCAAAGGCATCCATCGCAGTGTGCATGTATCTGCGATGGTTACAAAGCAAATAAATAAAAAGACTGTATGATTGTGTGAATGAGTGCTACGAATAATCAATTAAAAGTGGCGTACAGCTTTGTAAGTCCATTTACCATGACGTCCACTAATATTGGTATGCAGAGTCTAGAGGTTCAAATTAATATCTTTTTAATATCCCCAACTAAAGATCAAGTTTTTAGTGGAAATACACATTATGAAACTGTACTGTGGAGTTCAAGTAATGTACTGTGACTAAAAACAAGAAACAACTGTAGAGAATTTCAAAATTTTTAATGACCAAATTAAGTTAATACTGAGTCAACATTTTAAATATTTGAACAGAGATGTAGTGTAATACTGGACAATGGTGCTGGGGTGTGAGTTATTAACTAAAGCAGTTCACTTAAGGTTGGTCAGCATGCTCCATTCCAACCAAACCTTACTGCAAAGCATTAAGGGGACATGCTTCATCAACAGCATTGCAGAATTTAACACTTAGGCTACCCAGCAACTCCAAGTAAACATACGTATAATGGGCAACTAGAGACACATGCATTTTAAAGCCTTGACAGTTCAAGCTACACTTACACTCACTCTAACTGAATGTGAGTGCTCTTGAAACTCCTTCTGGACACAACAGAAAAAAGATGACAGACACAGGCACTGTTAGCCTCACAACTCAATATCTCTTGTCCTGTATCACTAGGCTGAGAGCATGTTCAGGTAAGCCTTGAACTTCCATATTATGTGCATGAAAATAGATCCCTTTCCAAACTTGACTAAAATACTTGAATTTTATTAAGGTTAACTTTAATATCAATATGTATACTGTGTTCATTGACCTAGTGCTCCACCGTACCCTGGCAGCCAAGTTGGGTTTTTTTCATTCCATCAAAAGATGATTACAATTTGCAAATAAAATTAGATGTATAAAATATAAAAACTATTCCTCGGTGGGTCAATTATTTCACCCATCTCTAAGCATCATGCACATGCCAACTTATACATGCAATCAGCTTTCTTGACTGGCTCTAAACCTTAGGTGATTTCCACACATGAAGGAAGAGATGCCCCATACCATGCTCTCTTGGTAGGGCAACCAGGAGGCAGGCCATATTATGGTGACTTGCTCACCAAAGGATTCCTTGCGTCACATATATTCAGACATCACACGTACTGGTAAGTCTATCAGACAGCGTTTTTGCATTCACAACTTTCTGTGTTTAATATTTAGAAAGGTCTGGGGCTGAAGTGTATGAAGAAAAACAAACAAACAAACAAAAAAACAAAACCGCTTTTAAGTTCCAACCAATAAAAACAGTAAGAACCGGCACTTACCCATTGGGATCCTTCTCAATCATCTTGAGCAACTCAAGAGCCTGCAGCACCTTGCGAGCCACATTCTTTGATCCAACACTGTAGTGGGCAGGGCACACGCCGTTCCTCTTGCGACTGCCATAGATCTTGGTCATGGAGCCAACACCAGCACCACCACGGAGGTAAAGGTGGCGAACAGTGGATGCTGCGGAAGCATAAGAGATGACAGTGTTGTCATATAATCAATATTTAGAACGTGAAACACTAAGCATTGTACAATGTGAATATTAAGTTTTTGATAAAGTGGGCTTACTGTGTCAATGGTTATAAATTTGGAAACAATTTAAAATGATCAGCATGTATAGTCTGTTGCATTCAAAAACTCTTTACTAATTAAAAGCACATTTGCATGTAAAATTGTCCCATCTCAAAGCACCATTTAAACATGTAAATGGAAACATCTTGTGGTAATACAAGCCTGAAGCTGTAATTAGTCTCAGGAGAACTGAAAACCTTAGTAATTAAAAAAAAACAACTTGCAAGACTTACCAGCTCTGATGTAGAACCAGTTCTCATCACTGGGGGCCAGCTCCTTGTGCTTACCCAGCTTGACAAGGTCCACCCAGTCAGGCACCTTCAGTTTTCCTGACCTGGTAACAGAAAAGGTACATCAGTATGAAATACATCAGAGGACTATATCAATAATTTGTTCGACTGAGCCATTAGCATCTGTTAAGTTAAACAGCGTCACAAAATTTGATTAAAAATATGTTCAATGAAAAGTAAAGCTGCTCAGTGGAGCATACTATATAAAATATATTAACAAGCTTTGAATATGTAGAGGAGAAAATAAAACTCACTTCTTCAGGAAGGCCGCCAGGGCACGGACAAACTCCTGCTGGTTAACGTCTTTCACTGTGACACCTGGCATCTAAATGCAATTAAAATATGAATAAATACAAACTAACTAACGTTTATCTTCCAAAAAAAAAAGCAACACACAAGACAAACATCTCTCATAATTGCTCTAAGATGTCGCTGCTCACCGCCTCAAACCAGAAGAACTCTTAAACATTAATCCCAATTAGCTTCAAAGAATACGGAGCTTAGGTTAATTATTAAAATGCATCAAGAAAACAAATACTAAATAATGCTATGCAGCAAGACATATTGGACAGGATACATGTGCACGACTCTTGGTAAAATTGCACGTTTCACCCGGTGTTTTAGCTTCATGTGCGCTAAGTGACCATACACTCAACCACACTTCGTTTTCAATTGTTATCCTTACGACCTAAAAATCGACAAATAAAAAATATCTGCCCAACCGATACACGATATCACTTCTCGTAATATGAATATTCATATATTATAGCACAGAACACAAAAGCAAATCAGTACAACTAGCCAGTTGAGCAGGCCTCAACGAGGTAGCATGGGGGCAGCCATTACTAGCAGATATGATATGAGCGCAACATTCAAATAAAATTCTCGCAAAAACTTATTAACACGCCAAAGTACCTCGTGTAAAGCCTAACCACTGTAATTATCTGTACTTTATACTTTAACAGACCACGTTTGAAGAACAATTGTTTGAATTTTGAATACATTTATTGCTAAATAAGCGAGGAGTGAAAAATGCGGCGTTACCTTGCTTGTGGACAGCGAAGGGAAGAGAGTGAAACGGGGTTTCCAACACATGATAGAACGGGCACATCTCGTTTTTTAACGCGAGACCAGCGCGTTGTTTTTTCCAGCGATGCCGCTCATCACAAGTGTCGACAGTCCCAATCTAATCCATCTATCTGTTTTCGACTCTTTTGTTCGTCATTTAGGCTATTTTATTATCGTCTACATAAATAGATTAGGGTTAGGGAAATTGCATACTAGTGCTACAAGTTGTACTTTACATAGTATTTAATCGGTTTTTGGTCATTTATTTCCATCTGTTTTTATCAAAAAAAAATCCGCTTGTTTTCATTCTTCTCTCATAGAGATCCCCACTTTCACATTTAACTATGGCTGCATTTAAAATGGCAGCAGCCAATAGTTAGTATGTCTACATCAGTTATTGATTTGTCAGTAACTGTGCTCTTCCCGTAATGCTTGGCCCTTTTGAGACAGACAGTTGGAGGATAAGGACCTAAATGTCAATCTTACAGTTTGATTTCTTGTATTTTGCTTGTTTGTTTGTTTCAAATTATATATATAGGGGCAAGAGAGACTTTCTTAAAGGTGCATATAGACATCAATACACTTCTGCCTGCATATTTGTTTTCGTGTCTATAGATAGTGTAAACTGCTACATCCGAACAGCAAGCTGTTAAGAATTGCATAGTTTTTACTCTTTATTTTAAAAAATCTGGAGAAAACGACATATATAACATAATAAATGTATATATATATGTGTGTGTGTGTTGGGGGGGGTACCTTATTTACATAGTTCCCTGGCTGGAAGAGAATGTGTTGCCCTTTGCACAAATCAGATGGAAAGGGCAGCCATGCTCCAACATTGACACAATTGATATGTTTGCAGAGACAAGGGAGAGATAGAAGGCAGGTTGATAAGCAGAGGTTTATGAATCAGGTTTATGCTGTCAGTGGGGGCAGACAGTTAGACTGAGAGGTGAGAGGGAGAGATAGAGATCCTTGAGCGGAATAAAAAAGCAAGCCAAGTCATAACCAAAGATAGGTTAGAGCTCATCATCGCAGGGGCTTCACAACAGGTAACTGTACCTTTTTAATTTAATTCACCTCTTTGGCACCCACTGATTTCTCAACTCTGTCAAATTGACTGTCGCCATGAATAAAAGTTTGGCCCTATGTACTTTCAAAGAGCTTAATTGATTAATTAAGGCAATTCATTACGCTGGGAGTGTCCAGCTACCAATTTGAATTGAAAACTCACACAAGGTGGATTTGAACTCCATTAATTACTTCAGTAAATCAATTTTGCTGAGCCCCTTCAAGTAGTAAGACAGGAGACAACTGTGTAAAGTGATTATGAAGTGTTATAAAGAGGTTATTTTAGCCAGTCATGATTATTATGGAAGTGAGGAGTGACACCAAATGTTTCAGAAAGGTCAAACTAATTACATGGAATGGACAGGTGGCACATTGAGGCAGCAAATCTGCTATTTCAATATTCATTTACTCTGCTTTCTGGGAGACTATTGTTTGAAAATGCACTAAAATTAGCTGTCAATCATGTCTGAATACATTTGCTGAAAATTACTCATCAGGCACTGGCACTGCACACTTGTGTAACTGAGTGTTGCTGTCCATGTATTTACGCATAAATGTCTAGCACTGTTTGTGTTTCAAGAAGTATGTGTCTGACTGTGAATGAAATATGGTGGGCCAGAGGGAGAAAAGAGGTGCATTAAACATTGGAACAAGGTATGAGAAAACATAGCGTGTAACTGTATGTTGCCACCCAGCTTGGTGCTTGTTGTCGTGTGTTTGCATGGTGCTCACATCCTACATGGAGAAGTTCTGTCAAGTCTGGTCTGGCCTGACCTTTTCACTCTCCAGACACGTTTACAGCTCTCCAATACCTATCAAAATATCTACTCCCTTTCTGCCTGCTTCTCTGCCCCTAGCACAAACTTGCATCACATTCTAAATCCTTCTACAACTGCACTTTTCTCCTTCTGCTGAGTGTTTTTTGTATTCTGACCCACAATCCACTGCTTAACCGTACAATTTCCTCCATCCGTTGTCACTCCTTTCTCATTTATTTTCCCTCTATTCTTTGTCTTTCTCTGTGTGTTTGACCATCTCTTTGACAATTCAAGTCAAAGCGATGCTCCAGGAGCCGTCTTGGCTCCAAGAAACACATGGGAACACAGGGCAGAGGTGACAAGTAGAGTAGGAGGTTTTATTTGCATAGAAAACATCAATATGTATTTTCTTGAATTTATGTTTGCCCACATCATTATCATCAGTGTTTTGTTTTGTTTTCAAAATTGTAAAAAGATACATTTTTGTCTCTTTGTCTTCTTAAAAATTGTCCTCAGACATGGAGCTCACGTGGCTGTATTCCCTATGCCAGTGCATGTTATCTTTATCTATAATTGTGGTGAGCGTGCGGCTTTGCATGGCAGTCACCAGCAAGGGCACGATGGCTGATGTCCAAGACGGATCCCAGATTGCCAGGCCCCAGCCTGGGAGTGTTTCATGCTGTCTTCGACTGTGTCTGGGTTGTGTCGGAGCCATAGGAGGTGCAGTGGGAGTCCCTCTGAATGTGTTACTCAACCTGCGAAGCCCCCAGTGTTTGTACACCTGCATAACCCTTGTGTGTTGCCCTTTGATGGTCAAGCAGTTTACAATGTTCCTGTTGGTACTGCTTACCCTGGACACCCACCTATACCATCGTTTGGCAGACAGGTGAGCGTAACAGTTTGATCAGTAGAGGAAAATGGACAAGTTTTCAATTTCAGTTTCAAAGTTTAAGCAGACAAACACACACACACACAATTACACAACAAAAAATACACAAAAGGAGACATTTCTTATATAAGACTCCTTTTCAAAGTAAAATAAAACTTTGAGTGGTTTAATACATTTTTGTATATGTGTGGGAAAGGGTGAATATGTGGGTGGCAAGAGGCAACCACGATTTGTAAGCATGCTTTTAGCAAAAATGAAAGAAAAATAAGTCAAGGCACACCTTTGTATGTAGTAAAACAATCTGTTTGTTCAGTGCTCATAAAGATGTTCTTATTGCGAACTGCTTGTGATGCGATGTGAGTGATGGTGAGTAAATATCAATAGGCTCCAAGGCTCTTAGATGTTTGATTGACAGTGACCCACAAATTCGGACTTGAATGGAAAATCAGAATTTCCTTTTAGACTGAAAATACTTTCTTCAAAGATGTACGGCGTGCCATTTTGAATTTTTGGAGTTGGTGGTAGACAGGTGTCAGTTAGGAACAATCATCTTGGTGATGTCCTAATTTCTTATGATAGCTTCAAGTACTATTGAGTCTCAGTATTAACTCCACGCTAATATGTTGTTGTTGTTGTTTTTCATGTCTTTGGATGCCAGATACTCCACAGTGGTCACTCGTCAGCGAACTCTGGGTGTGATTCTGTTGTGCTGGGTGGCCTCTGTTCTCTCCTCCTTTGCTCAGTTCATCGGCACAGATGTCCTCAACGCCAGGACGAGCAGTGCGGACCCAGGCACAGTGGGTCTTGAGTTGGATGGTAACTGGACAACTTCTTTACCCCATCTTACCTCTTCCCCACCCCCTAAGTATGACGTCAAAGTCATTGGGAAGTACCTTCCATACGGAGGCTTCTTGTCAAAATTTTACGTGGAGGACATGAGCAACTTTACCTATGCTGAGATTCACAGCAGCCACTGGACACTCTGTGCTCCTGACACTATTCTCAGTCCCCAATTCTTGGTCTATGTTCACGGGATGACGGCATTTATCCTCCCCTTGCTTTGCCTCCTGGCCATTTACATTGACCTGCTATGCATGAAGCAGAGGAAGACTCCTTTTAGTCATGCAGATCCCCCAAAACATGACTCCTGCTTGGCCCGCTCCCTGGCCCTCTCCCTCTCCCTTTTACTTCTGCTGTGCCTGCCACTCCACATTATCCACGCTCTCCTGCTTTTTACCCCGAGTACCTATGTTCCTGACTGGGTTCATATATTTGCCTTGTTCCTCTTCCAGCTCTACAGTCTTGTGCCCCAGATCCTTTTCACTCCTCCTAGGAAACACATGGGGGGAGAACAGGCATCATTCCCTCTCACTGTTACCAACCTTCCACCTGCAGTAGCCCAGTCCAGAGGGAAATCTGTACGTATGGCACTGTGTGAGGCGATGCAGGCAGCTCCATGGTCTTCAGCCAAACACTCCCTTAAAGCCAAAGTGTGCCCAGAGGTCTAAATTCTCGGAAGATCTGGGCTATTGTTCCCAGCAGATAGAGCAACATTCCCTCCATGTTTCGTGTGCATAAAAAATAGTTAGCATTGGAAACAAATGACCTGTGGACTGAAGAAATGTGGCGTATTTCTGTTTGTTGCAGGCTTTTAAGCAATCTGCAACCTTGTACACACACATAATGAATAACTAGCAAATGATCAGGCCAGTTAATTATCAGGTCCCACACCAAATGTCAGTGAGAAAATTAAGTCTCTAGGTGATAACTACTATCCTGATCACAGATGTCTGTTTTCTTTGACTGCTCTTCCTATGGGTCTTATTCTAAGCCTGCTTTAAATCTCTACTAAGCCAACCACCAGTAATGTAGATGTATGAGTGACAGCATTTAATTAAACCTTCAGTAGTGGTCTAGAGAGAAGGTGGCATTGTAAGGAAAACATAATTAACCTGGTTATGACACAATTTTCATGGCTGCTTTGATTAAACTTGTAAATACAATACAATTCTCTCCTGTAATAAAACGGTCCTTATTCACACTAATTGGATTGTTCATCTTGAAGCATGTTAGTATTAAGAAATCAGTGATGGAGAAAACTGTGGCAATCCATCTCCCTCTGCATAGGACATATGTATGACAATGAACATGCCATTTACATTAGGGTGACTAACCGTCCTCTTTTTTTGCGCTTGTTGACTTGTAAAAACCTATATGACATTTTTTATTTCACCATTCATTATTAAAGTTCTTCATGGCTGGGCCAAGTGTTCTCTTTTTTGGAAATCAAAATATGGTCACCCTAATTTACATTTTCCCCCTGTCTCTTATGATCATAGACCTGCTCTGTCTCTCCAGCTTTCTATAGATCTTGTGCCTATTTTTTTATTCATTTTCTCACTTTTCAAATCCTTCAGCACTTTCAGTTTTATCTTAATGTATTCAGAAAACACACAGACTGCTATGCTTCATGTCATTGCAAAAAAAAACCCTTTCCCTGGAACACATTATTGACAAAGAAATGTCAATTTGGGGTAAAAAATATCACTCAGTGAAAAAGAAAATTTCTCTAGCTTCCCTGGCACAGGTGCATATTCAATTGTTTTGCCTGCTTGGAAGCTCCCTGCTTCCTGATTATACGCAGCTTGGAAACTTCAGTAACCTGCGCTTCAAGCTACTCTGCCACCTCTTTGCCATGCTAGGGTCGCTGGTGAAACCAAAGAGAAAGGACTGATAAAATCATGCATGTTGGCAGTAAAATAAAATTACTTTTTTTCCTTTTGAACTGAAGTCAAATATTGGCTGCAAATTGTAAAAACGAAATATGACTCTCACAAATGGGAAATTCTCTGATGTGAACCCGTTCCAGGAGATTAATTTGTGAAACCAACGTCAGAGAAAAGCTATACGAGTTATTCATACATTTTTCCTGTCATATTATTAGCCATATTTTGGTACATTCACTGCATGCCATAAATAGAAGAGGATTAAGGACTGATGACTTGTTACTTTCCACTTTTTTCCTTATGTTTTTGATAATCACCCTCCATGATCACAGTGGTGGTCGTATTGCTTTCAGAAATACCATATGAATTGTGTTATAAGTATGTCCAGCCTAGTTTCCCAGAAAGCCTACCCAGCCAACAGTCAATGCTGTGAATTTTAGTGTGATTATGAGGACTCTATAGGGGAACACAAACACAAGTGTGAACTAAAAAGTTTAGTTTTTGTAGAGTTTTATTTCTTTTTCTCCCCTCTGTGAGGACGAGCAGAATATCAGCATCAAACAACCAACAAAGACAACCAGACTGAGTGCTGTGTATCCCACAGGAAAACAAACAGATGAAACCTTTGTTTGAAGGACACACACTTCTGTTTTTAAGACATAAAAAAGGGGCAATATTCTCAGTTTTATTACTCATCGACCACAGTGAGTTTGATAGCAAGCGCTTTCAGTGGTACTGTTGCGTCATCATAAACTCAAGATATGTCTAGTTTCGACTGAATTGTTTGCTGGCCAGAGTGTCAACTCATGCTGGTAGCGCCTGGCAAGTCCATTACTTTGATTGCCGTTTGACAATCTGTCTTTATGACAGGCGACCAAGGAGCTTTGCCATCGATAGAAGAAAACACATCGATCTATCACCCTGCGACCTCCAGCAGCTTTCAAATCTAGCCCTGCACACAGATGGACATGTTGAGTGCTTCCCGACAGAATCGGGTATTGATTGCGTGGAAGTTAATGGCAGAGTCATATTTTTCTGCGTGCATCTGAATCAACCCTCCTGTCACCTTTTCTTGCCTGCTATCTGCTCTCATGATTCATTAGCGCTGCCACACAAGCATCTGTTTTGTTTATTCTGAAAGAGCTGCCAGTTTTAACCGGCTCCGCTGCCTTCATCTTTATCTTCCCACCTATAACGCCACTATTCCCCATTGATCTAATCATATGCTACATCTCCTGTTCTGTATTCACAGGATTTCAAAAACAGTACCAGCTAATTATGCAGTAAACACCCTTCGCCCCCAGCCTCCCCCAAAAAGAAAAAAAAAAAAACAGTCTGATACCCGAGGTTATTTTTGGATTCTTTTTTTATTTTGTCGTGCTTTGTATCTTTCCCCTATAAAGAAATAGTTAGCTATATATCAACAATGACACATGGACGGTAAAATCAACAAGAGTGAAAGACAGGAGAAGAGACAACTAGGCACAGGAGACAAAGAGAGAGAAAGACTGGGAAAGAGAGGAAAGATAAGAGGAAAAGAGTGAAAAATGACAGCAATTTCTCTACAGTAGAACCAAAACAAACCATGGGAAGTGTACATTTCTTTAACATTTACAAGTATAATAATAACAACGGCAATAATAATAACAGTAACAACAATCATAATTGTTCAAATAATAATAATAATTAATAGAAAATCAATAAGACCTCTGGTTTCTCATAAAGACAAATGTTTTTTTTTTTATTCTTTTCTTCATTTTCTTTAAAGATCACTGGACAGTAGTTTGTTCGGCTTTGCACCTCTATAGGCTAGTATTCTGTGTTAGTATAGTTGCTCATAATGCGTTTCAGTAGTAAACTGTTTTCTTATTTCTTAAAAGTTTAATTTAATTTATGTCGAAGTTCTTTTTTATACAAACAAGGAATTCAGAGATATGTATACTGTCAACGTGTTTTACTGTACGTATGAATGTGTGCATGTATCTGCATATGTGTTTGAGCATTCAGGGGAAAAAAAGCCTTCTCTCTCGTTCAGTCCTTTCACTCTGATTCTTCTTGGCCCTCTTATTAAGAGTTTTAAACCTTTTTATCCTCTTAATGACATTCTAAAATAATTATACTTTTCTTTAATGCCTTAGCAAGTCATATTCCTTTCTTCTTTCTCAGGAACGCAGCCCAATACTAATCCTTTCATTATTAGGAGCCAACAAAGAAGAAGTGATAGAGGGAGAGACATACAGAGACAAAGAGAGATATACGAGTAAGGGGAGAGGATTGCAACAGGTGAACGCAAAGCAAATTAAAAGAGGACCACATTTCCTCCACTGTTGCAGTGAGAGGGGGAAAATAACACTAAAAGATGCATTTTCTTTTCTTTTTACAAATTGGCAGGCCACCCAACAAGGATAGCAAAACGGGACAGTTAGTTTGTTCATAAAGTATGGATACTTCCTGGGACTCAGTTTAGTTTTGTTAGGGAATTATATATTAGCTAAGCTGTGTAGCCAAGATGGTTTGGCAATTAAAAAAAAAAATCCATTTTCAAGCATCAAGCACTCAGAAGCTCCTGGTCAACTCTCTCTCTCTCCCCTTTGTCCTCTCTCCCTTCTCACACAGTGCTCCCACTGTCTCCGTCAGTTAAAAAACTGAGCTTTGTGAAATGGATTCTTCTATTCTCCAGGCGGGGAATTATAGCAGTCATCTGCCTCTAATTCCCTTTCCACTTTGGCGGCTGCACAGGCAGAGTGCCGGTTTTCTTTGTGCTCCCAGTTTCCCTCTCAATCAAAATAATTATGGCATCATTTCGCTTTTGTCTACATTCACCTCACTCTGTGGCCTCACCCTCTCTCCCTTTCTCACTCCCTATATTTTCCCCAGTTTCTCCAGCTTACAGTATATGGCACAGTCGTTAATGGCTGG